GGCAAAGCCCAAATCCCAGCAGTAATCTGCACGGCCCTACGTGACGTGACGTGGCTCCCCTCTTCCTCTCCCACTTCCTGTCCTGCCCGCCTCCTTGTTCACTCTACTCTGGCCACACTGACCCTCACGCTGCCCAGGTGTGCTCCTGAGCTAGGTCCTGGCTAGAGCTGTTCCCTGTCTGGGATGTTCTTTTCCTAGATACCTGCTTGGCTAACCCCTTCAATCTCCTTTAAGTCTCTGTTCCAATCTCTCATTCTCCACAATCTCCTCTCACTCTATCCTATTTAATATTAAAACTGATCTTCTTATCTCAGAACTTCTGATTCTCTTTTCTGTTTCATTTTTTTCCCTTTTCCCATAGAATTTATCATCTTCTCACATACCATATAATTTACATTTTATGTTTATTGTTATTGTCTCTAACACATACACGCACAAGGATATAAGCTCTCCAAAGGCAAGGGCCCTTGTCTTTTGTTCTCTGATGTATCCTAGGCACGTAGAACGTTGCCTGGCACACACTGGTGCTCAGTCATTCTTAAGGGACTGGCTGTTACTACGGCAGTCTTTATACTGCCGTATAGTGGGCACGAGGGTCCCGAGTGTTCAACTCCAATGTGAAGAGGTCAGGAAAGGCTTCAGAGATAAGCTGGCACTTCAATTCGGTCTTGAGAGGTGAGAAGGAATTTTCCCAGGGGGTGGTAAGGCAGAGGCGTAGAAAGAGAAGGAAAGGTTTTCAGTACAGGACACTCCTGCAGAGTGTGATCATGGACCTAGTACTACAATAGGAGGGTGAAATTCATCATCCTCAGAACAATGGGGAGCCAAGGAAGTGCTTTATAAGAGGAGGGCCATTATCAGATTTGGGCTTTTAATAAAATCACTTTGTCTGCAAGTACAGAGGATGGATTAGAGAGGGTAAGACTAGAGGTAGACAGACCGGTGAGCTGAATGTTGGAATTGCAACAGAGAGAAGTGCCGAGGCCTGAGACCGCCAAGGGGCTGCAGCAATGGGGTGAAGAAGTGGTCCCCCTCGTGGTATAAACCCTGACGGTTTACAACATATGACATCCTTGTCACATTTTCACTCACACACTGGGCTGCTTTTATGTTTCAGTATGCTTGTAAGGAAGCTACAGATATTTCAGTTTTGAATCTTGGATTGTGCAATCAGCACCCACTTCTTTTCCATTCAAATGGGAGGTCTTCATGAGGGCTATTGTCCGAAGGAGCCACAGACTATGGAGAAAAGGCAGTGAAAGGAGAGAGCAAGTGCAAGAGAGCAGAGCAAGTCTTGCTGCCTGCCTCTTTCTGGGGCAGAAAGGCTGTACACTCGCTCTGCTGCAAGGAAGGAACAGGCAGCTCTCTTTCGCTATAGTTAATCTTCTGTTGCCACTAGCTGGTCAGTATGAGAACTTGGGAAAACATCCACTCTGGAAAAGAAACGCCCTCCTAATGCTGCTCCACCCAAGGTTAAACCTGACTCTTTTCTTCCTTTCCTGGGAAAGAGCAGATTTCTTCCTCCCACCCCCAAAGGCAGCTAGAGGGAAAGGCAGTGAGGCTTCCTTCTCCCCCAGAACAAAACCATCAGCTCAGGTGCTTAGGAGAGATTGGAGCCAACCAGCTGGAGACTCGGGCAAGAAAACGAATTCAATTTTCCTAAGAAGATTTTTCTCCTTAGATTTTTAAATTTCTTGGCAGGGGGAGAAGGAAAGAGTGGTACACCTCTTTCCTTTTTATGGTATTGGATGGACTTGCAGACACTGAGACACATTTAAACCCAGTGCCTCTTGCAAGAGGTCCTGCAACATGACGGAAAGAGGCATGGACTAGGATTCAAGACCACTGGATTTAAGTTCAAACTGCATGTGCTTGGGTGGGTTTCCTTCCTCCTCCGGACCTCAATGTTACTATATGAAATAGAGGGCAAAAATTCAATGCTACCTGAGAGTCTGTGATGCTGGGATCCCATCAAAGTGGGTGACTGTGATCACAGTTTTCAAGAGGTCACCGTCAGTCTCCATCCTCTCCTCCCCCCCAGCACACAGTTCCCACTGTCCTAAGGCAGACAAGGCCCAGTGATCAACGAAGCAAGGTGAGAAGCAGGAGGCTTTGCCTGCCAGAAGCCTAGTTAAACCTCCTGCTGCACTTGCTGTAAATTAAAATCACAGACTGCTCTTGCAGCCAGGGTCCAGTTCAGGAAAATGATCAAGCCCTGGGTCACACCAAAGCCTGAAGAGCTTGGCTGTCTCAGCTGGTGTCACCAACTCCCCAGAAACAGCAAATCTGGTTGGTCTTGACGAAACCCGAGCCTCTCTAACAGCTGAAATGAATCCTCCTCTCTCCAGCCCTGTCACCATCTCAGTAACATAGTACTTTTTGAGGGCAGACAACATATTTCTCTTTGCCCCAAGTATTAAACAGATTTCATCACCTTTGAGCTGGCAAGAGGTGGGCTAGGGTATAGAGAAAAGGGAAGAAAACTCAGATTAAAGACCACTAAACACCCCCAACTTATTTACAATGTCCCAGAAGCCTGGACCAACACACCAGGATGGGACAGGAAGTTTGAATGCAACCTAAATACCTCATTTAGTGATAAGGGACCTGGTGTCCAAATAAGGAAATAATACATATTGTTTTAAACCTAGCTTTGTTTCAGGACATCAAATTCTCTCTCCTCTCCATCTCAGAATCTTTCTCATACACATACAGAAAAGAACACTAGAATGTTAGTATGGTCAGAAACCCCTACAGGAGACATGGCTTACTACTATTTGTAACCACTGTCCCAATAAAGGACGTCAACCTTCAGAATCAAACCAGAAACCAAAAAGGGCATATAGCCCAAACATCTGCAGGGCTTGGGTCCTTTCTCCAAAGGCCTGCCTAACGGCTATCTGGTGTCAGCTTGAACACTTCTTCCACCGTGATTCATTCAGCCATTAGGGGTCAGCAAACGGGGCTCTTAGCTCCATGGGACACTCCTGGGGGGCTCAGCTCTGTTCCCTTAGTACTTGCACTTTCAGAACATTCCTTAGAATCAGACCCCTGCACACACTTGGGGGGAATAAAAAAGCATATTCCGTACTCTGTGTTGATATTTGAAGGAAGCTTCTCCAGCCCTTTGTTGACTGTTCTTCTTGGGCTAAACTCCATGCTCCCAGCAAGTCTCATGGCTGGGTGCCTGACCTCTTACTCTTCTCAGAGGCTTTTTTCTTTGGGTATCCATTTTTATCTTTCTTTTAAGGAACCTCTGCTGACCTGACAAAGTTGGCATTTCAGGACTGTATCTTCTTCCTTCTCCCAGGCCATCAGCTTCTTGCAAACAGCATCCTGTTGGGAGAGACCTTCAGGACACTGCCGGTCCTATTCATGCCAGCGCACTTAAAGACATATTACTGAATGACTTGTCCTTCTTCACACTCCCTCCCCCACGTACAAAGCACATCCTTCTCCTATCAGGCGACATGGCAAAGCAAACTACTAAAAAATGTTGCAATGAGTGCTTTCTCAATTTGATCACTTTTTTCTGCTTTTGTGGAATCAAGGCAGGTAGATGGTAAACAGTCTGGATTGACCATTACTAAGCACAGGAAAAAGGATGACATTTCCCTACCTGCGGGCATGGAAGCTAAATCCAAGAGCAGACTCCGGGGCTGCCTGGAGGTAGGTGAGGACTGAGTTCACCTCAGAAGCCCTGTGCTGGCAACTGCTCCTGTTTAAATTCTGTTCTTTCTATCAGTCCTTCTTAACACCCCCATGGTACTGGTGTAGGAAAACAGTCAGTACAAAGCAAGAGGAGCTCGTCAGAGTCACGGAGTAGGTCAGGGCACTTCAAGTTCATAGAATCTTTACACCAAAGGATTATTTTAAGGCTCATCTACCCACTCATATTACAGCACAAAGAATTGAAGCTCTGGGGGATGAATGACTCGTTCAAGGTCACAGTGAGCCAGAGCTGAGAGTTCCAGATCCTAACCAACATTAAGTTCCCAAGCTGCATTTTAGCATTCAACTTCTCCTCAATTTGTCTACTAAAACTTCCAAGGCCTAACTCAGGTTCTTTCTGGTCCAGGACGTCTCCCCAGACTTCTCCAAATCTATAGAGATACCTTCCTTCCTGGATGCCACAGAATGTATCATCTCCATCACTCATTGGTATCGATAAATAGAATGCCCTTTGACCTCCCATGAGTCATGGAACTTTGAGCTGGCAGGGTCATTGGAGGTCATTTAACTCACACCTCATTTTCTAACTCGCATACTTCAGCTCACCAATGTAGCCCAAGTTCCTTTGGAAAAGATTCTTGTCTTGTTGATGACTATTATTATATCCCTCTACTCAGCACCACACCCTGCACAAACTACAAATTTGGTTCAGAATACCAGTTTAGCAATTACCAAAGATGTAGGTGTCTTGCAGACTGGGATTCCAGGTCCAGGTGTGCCATTTATTTATAGTGTGACTTTGAACCAGGTGCTTGACCTCTCTAAGAATGCTCCCTCATCTGTCAAATGGGAATAACAGTAGTGCCCTCTCCATATATTTTATGTGGATTCATAATACAAGGCAAGAGTAAAGCTCTTGGAATCACATTAAGGATTCGATAACTATTTGCTATTCCTTAATCATTTTCAGGGAGATTCACTTTGTCAATGTTATTGACTTATAATCAGATTCTAAAGAAGTGGCCCTGGCACAGAAACTTGGGGGAATCTTTCACATCTGAGGGAAACTTCCATTCTACATAAAGCAGCTGAAACTTGATGGGGAGAAGAGAAACACAAAGAGGAAAAGACCTGAATAAAATCTTCCTTTCAGTCTGGGCATTAACAAGAGAGGCAGAATGGAGGAAGGCATGGCCAGCTATGAAGGTGACTTTGGTGCATGAGGACGGTAGGCAGTTTGTGCAAAATGACCTTGAGGTCCCCCAACTGGGCTTACAGTAAAATGAGAAATCCACCTTTTATTTGTTTGTTTGCCCCCCCCCCCCCCTTTTAATGCCAGGGATGCTTTACCATCACCAACTCCCAGCCCAGGACCCAAAGTGTGAGCCGAGGGCTTTGGTAGACACCATCACCCCCTAGTGGTGGCTCCACACTCCCCACTATAGGCAGAGCTTGGCATTTCCCAACTTTGCATGCCCAGCTGTGGCACTGGTCACCTCCAAATCCCCTGAACTAACAAGCTAATAGTGAAAGACTCTCCCAACTCGCCAGAGACACACGCAAGGCAGGATGTTTAAAAGGTTTGGAGAAGGGACGAGGCTGCCTTGGGACCCTGGGAAAGAGATGGCCATAAAGGACTCATAGTATCATCCCCTCCCCCCACCGCCACCATCAACCCTCATTTCCAGCCAGCCTGGCCCTCCCAGAGCTCATTGTGCACTCTGTGTTTACACACAAACAGTCGAAGACCAACACAAATAAAAAGCCCACGTCTCCCTACACAGCTCCTGCTATACCCGGCCATCTGGTGACTACCTCGCTAGCCAAATCCCCATTGGGAATGCCTTGAGCTGCCAGTCCAGGGCGCTGGGGAGAGAAAGAGGAGGCAGGAACCCAATTTCCTGCGTGCATCCAAAGGCTCAGTGCTGCCAAGGAGGACAGCACGGGCCACTCCAAGGGGCAGGCAGTACCCAGCCACCAGGCTCAGAGGCTGTGCATCGCAGAAGGCAGAAAGCTCCACGTATGAGATGCCAGGAGCATCTCAAGCTGACACATAAGTCCCGGGGGATCGAAGACTTACAGTTCCTCACTCATCTTGTCCCAGGCCCCCAAGTACCCATCCCGTTTGAAAGCCAAAGTTAAAAATGGCAACGATTGCCAGCTCCAAGAATTGTGGGGCACATTTATAGCTGGCTGGACCGGGTCCTCCACATTCTTGGGGAATTGGAATGCTCCTGGGGTCCTCACTGCCAAGTCAGGCCATATCCAAGAACCCGCTTCCCTTGAAAAGCCCGTTTAGGGGGGATTTCCAACCCTCATCGCTCAGGGTGCCCAGGAGTCTAGAGAGACCTCAGGGATAAAGGGAGAAGGGTGGGAGTGCAAGTGGCAGTGAAGGGACACCTTCTGTTTCTGCAGAAGGACCCTTCCCCACGGGGAGGCGGGAGGAGCCCTCAGTGAGCCCAGGGTTAGGTAGCCCCACCTCCCCCTCATCCCCTTCCTTGGACACGGGCAGCCCCACAGGTGCACGTGGGAAGGGCTACTGGGGTGTGTGTGTATGAGTGTGTGTGTGTGTGTTCTATGTGCGTTGCACGCCAGACGCGACGCCGCGGAAAGTCCCCGGGGAACCTGCAAAGCGCTCTCCGCCTCGCCTACCAGAACGCTCCCCACGCTCAGGTTACAGCCAGCCTGACAGCACAGGCACCCTGAGGCTCCAGCTCAGACCGGGAGAGAGGGACTGGCACGCGCTCAAATCCCCGGAGGCAGCCGGTAGGAAAGAGGGAATGAGGGGGGGTCACAAAAATACATTTTAAAATACCAGAGCTCCCAGGAGAGTGTTGTCTAGTCCATTGATTACTACGTGGGGCGTCTCGGGTGAGCAAGCAGTTAACCTTGGAGGTTCGGGCTGGGATCCTCACGGCGCTGAAAACCAAGGCCAGGCACCCTGCGATGGCGATGCCAGAGCCGGATCCCGCCAAGCCTAGGACCCCGGGGAAGAAGAGCTGGGAGTCTCTGGGCGAGCCCCTGACGCCTTCTAGGCGCTGTTGTTGGCCAGACTCCGACAACCAATAAGGCCCCGCGCCCCCAGGAGGGAGGGGAGCGAGCGAGCCGCGAGCGCGGGAGAGCTAAGGGGGAACAACATTTTTGTAAACGCTCTCCGAGATAATTAAGCTATCAATTACCCGGGTGGGAAATCAGCTGCGCTTCCCACAGCTCCACCGAAGGGCCGACTCCTCCGGGATTCGAGCCGGGAACCAGCAGGCAGCAGGCTGCTGGCGAACTTTCTGATTAACTTTTCGGTTTGAGCCCCCCACCCTCACCTGTTTCCTCTCCTCTCCTTTCACCTGCCTTTAACTTATTGTTATCAGCCCAGTGAGTGAGCTGCGAGGACAAATCTGCTCTTTGCTGGGAGGGGGATAGAAAAAGGAAGGTGATGACGGAGGTAGAGGGAAAACCCAAACGCGGAGACCCCAGTCGTCAGAAATCGCTCAAGCCTCTCCATCCCCATTTCACAGATGGCCAAAACTGAGGCCCAGAGGAGGAAAGTGACTTGGCCAAGGTCACCCAGCCCGTGTGGAAGCCGAGCTTTTGCGGGCTGGGTGAGTCTACATGGAGTCACTCCGCTCCAATTTTCAAGAAAACCTATCTGGAAGGGAGGGCCAACAACTCGGAAGCGAGAGCGAGGGGGCGGCAACCGCGGGCAGCCAGTGACTGTGCCCGGAGGAGCAGTGGGCGGCTGGACCGGGAACCGGCTTAGGAGCTTCGGAGCGGGGGGCTGCCCCGGCCTCTAGCCAGAGCACACTCAGCGACTGGGGGTCTCCGGCGTCCGAGATGGACCGGGCAGAGCGCAACGTCTGGGCTGAGGCTGAGGGACAGGTCCCCACTGCGGGAGGGCTGGCACGCCCCCGGGCTCCCGCTACGCGCTCTCCAGGACCTCCGGCCCCACACTCCTTTCCAACCACCTGTGCGACCTCCCGGCCCCTCAACTGCCCTCCGCCAACCCCACTCGGGGCAGCCCGGGGAGGGGATCCCCAGGGCGCCCCCACCCGTCCGGCCTCACTTAGGGGGCTCAGGGTTCCTCGGGATTCCGCGGGCGCCGGCGCCCAGCCTTACCCAGGGTGAAGAAGGGCAGCTCCGTGTTGTCCAGGTCGTCCTGCACCGCGATGCGCCCCGGCAGCTCGTTACGCACAAAGAGCAGGAGGCGCGACTCGGCGGCGGTGCCGGCGGAGCCGGGAGAGCCCGGGGACGCGGCGGCGGCGGCGGCCGCTCCGGCCCCGGTCCCAGCCCCCGCCCCGGCGCGGGCGCCGCTCCAGCCGATGTCGCTCTCCCGCAGGGCGGGCAGCGTGGACACCGTGACGGTCTTGAGCCGGCATGGGCTGTCGGGCTCCCGAGAGGCGGCGGCGGTGGCGCCGGCCAGCAGCGGCGGCGGCGGCAGCAGGAGCAGGAACAGCAGCAGCAGCGGCGGCGGCGGCCCCGGGTGGAAGCGGAGTCTCGGCCGCCCCCGGAGCCCCGAGCCGGGGCCGGGGCTGCGCCGGGCGCCGGCGGCGGCCATGGCGGGAGGGGCTGCGGTGCTGCGGGCGGTGGCGGCGGTGGCGAAGGAGGAAGGAGAGGCAGCGGCGGAGACGGCGGACGCCGAAGCGAACCAGGACGCCCGAGCTAAGGAGCCGAGAGAGCCGCTCTCCGGCAGCCCCCGGCTCCGGGCTCCGCCTCCCGGCCGGCCCGGACCGCCCCCCCGCGCCGCCTCCCCGGGCCCAGCCGCCCGCCCCGCGTCGCCGGCTCCCCCCAGACCCCGAGCGTTTCAGAGGCTCCGCCCGGCCGCGTGCAAGTCCCAGTCGCTCCCTCCCCTTTCCCAGGATCCCCCAACGCCGCCCTCTCAAGGTTCTCCAGCCACAACACCCCTCTTCAAATTTCTAACACTTGGGGCCCCCCCCTCGCGGCTCCTGTAGTCCCCCGGTTCTCCTAGCTTCGTCCCACCTCGGCTCAAACCCGAGGCTGCTCCTGGGGGGGCGCGCCTTAACCCAGCCTTGCTCAAGGCCCGCCTTCCTGGGGGTAGGGAGCACCCCTGGATGGCCACGACTTAACTTTGTCTCCCCTCAGACCCAAGAGCAAGTCCTGTCTTCAGTCCCCTACCCATTTCCAGTCCCTGAAATAACTTCCCGTGGCCTCAGAGCCCCCTTCCCACCCACTTCCCCACAACTCACGCATTCGTTCTCCCACCGCCAGGACCCCAGCTCTCCCCTCCACCCAGGCCTCAGTGGTTTCACTCCTGGCTACAGGACAGAGGGGTGTCGAACTCCACCCTCTGACACCGACCCCCCCCACACACACACACACTCCAGCCGGCTGCTCGGGCCCCCTAGCTGCCGCCCTGCGAGCCAGCCCACTCAAGCGCTTTTATTTTGGATCCCTGCTCCCAGCTTGGAGCGGCTCTACTTGGCTGCTTCTGCTCTCTGTGTGAAATTCCTGAAAAGGGTGTGAGGTACAGACCTGCTACTCTGTCTGCTTCTGGCTCCTCCGGCTTCTAGATCCTCTGCCCAATTCCCGGAGGATAGGTCTGCTCCCCAATTCTTCACCCGCAGTTCTTCTAGATTCACGCTGAACTGTAAACCTAGGTTCTCAGATGCGGCACTCTTGGCCTTCGCTGATTCTGTCTCTGACCCACACACCCCATTCCCTCCTGGAGCGGTCATCTCCGCTAGGGTCCTACACATGCACCCCCTTCTCATTCCCCTGCTTTTCTTCCTTATGCCTCTCTCTGTAACTCTTTCATCTCTCCACTCACTTCCTTCTTGCTCATCCTGACTTTAATCTTATAAATGCTTCCTCCTATGATGTGTGAGCCATTTCCCATCCCTCTGTCTAGCTTGCCCGTCTGCACCTTTTATGCAGTTTCTGTGCATTAACTTCTCTCTTCAGAAGTTCTCTTTCCCCCATTCTGTCCTTAACCCTTCACACGAATTGCTTTTTCCCCTCTCTCACCACGTTTTATTTATTTTTTTATGACTTTTCGATAAAGGTAGGGGACTGAAAATAAGGAAAACAGCAAAAACTGTTTCGTGACCTTGGACTTAATAATACTGTGTATTAAGCATTCTTCCAGTGCCAGACATGTGCCTCTGTTAGCTGTTTATACGTTAACCACAATCCAATGACATGGGTGTTACGATTCCCATTTTCCATATGAGGAAACTGAGATCAGGAGGTCAGGAACATGAAGGGACTTTCCAAGGTCACACAGCTAATGAGCTGGATAGCTGAGATCGGAACTCTCGGCTTCAAGGCCTTGGCTGTTGCCCTGAAATCACACTGTCCTCAGTGACCTTGGAAAAGCCCACCCATCAAAGATGCTTTAAAAGGCAAATCTGCTTGAACACAGTTGGATCTGCCTCCGTGGTGGGGTTTGTGAAGTATGCTCCTCCTGTCTCCGTTTACTAATCTGTGAACCCAACAGAATCTGGCCTTTCAAGTCTTCTGATTTCTAAACCATCTCCTGCCTCTCTGATGCCTGCTCCAGTTCATTTACTCCTCCAAAATATGTCGCCCTGCCTCCCTCAGTCTCTTCTTTGTACCCTTACAATCCACCACTATCCTCTGCAATGGGGCTTTCTGATTCTCTATGCCCCTTTCTTCAAATATGCTGACATAGTCCATTTATAGAAGTGCACACCAGGAAAAAAGGGCTCCCTTATGTAAGGCAGAGTCTGTGCAAGTCCTTCATGGACCTCTGGTACAAAGGCCTGTCAAATGAGACCAACACTTTCATTCATTCACTCACCACCAAATATCCAGGGTGCCTACCAGGTACTATATTGGGATGCAGAGGTGGATAAACACAGCTCCTGCCCTTGGGGGGCTGATAATGACTGGTGGGAGTGTGTGTGCAGGGATGAGATGGGCACAGAAATATCTTGGGTACCAGGCTGGCAGACAGGTATGTGTTTCCTACAGGAGGTGCATGGAGAAATCAAAAGAAAGCCTCCCAGAGGCAGTAACACTGGAGCTGAGCCATGAAGAATTAGTAGCACAGGGTGGACATACAGGTTAAAGCTGGAATTCAGCATTCTTTGCAACCGCTTAGCATCCGAATGAGTCCCTTATCCTACATCAGAGGGTGCTTCATCTTCTGAGGCACAGCCCACCTCCTGAGAAAAAGGTAAAATTTCTAGAACTTTCTCAGCCTCCACCGCAGCTAGAGCTTGGGCACATGACACAGATTTCATCGGTCAGATTCATCCACCCTACATGCTGGGGAAGGAAGCTGGAATCTGGCAGAATCCATTGGGGACCAAAAGGGCAACAGCTGAGGCAGTTACATTGAGGTTTCATTGTGAGTGGAAATAATTCTAACAGCACTGCTTGGAGCCCAGTGCCGTTGGTGTCAACAGTGTGAAGTGCCCCATTCATGCTCGGCTGCAGTCGCAGCAATATCTCCGCGAGGCCAGCTCTGAGCCGTGATTTGGAGTGGTGCTCTTGACTTCATGGACTGTAAGCCCAGATCCCGTGCCCTTCTGGGGATGCTGTGTAATCTAATATAACTTAACTGAATTCTGGATTCTGTTTCCGCTTAAATTATTCAGAATTGGTTTCTGTTGCTTACAACTAAGACATCTGCCTGAGAACACAGAATGTGGGAATAAACAGAGGGCAGAGAGGGCAAAACTTATGAAGGGAAATGGAGGAAGTTCAGTCGGGGGAGAGGCAGTGATTGAAGATAAGAAAGAAAAGGCAGGCAAGGAGTACCGGTTTTATTTAGCAGGCGGTGTTAAAACCGGAATGACCACAGGGAAAGAACTTGTATTTCTCAGCACATGCACTGTGACTTCAGAACTTTAAGTAGTATATCAATGAATGGAGACCACTCCTGTCTGATGGTTGTTGTGAGGCTTCAGAAATAATTATACAAAGTGCTTAACACATAGTAGGTACTCCACAAATTATTAATGTAACTACTACTTTGATGTATAATCCCAGCAACATCTGGAGTAAGGCTTTTTATTCCCATTTGATAGATGTGAAGCCAGAGGCTCAGGAAAGCTACGAAAGTTGACTTTGATCATGCAGTTATCAAGTGTTGGGATGCAAGAACGCCTGACTCCTAAATCCTTGCTCTTTCTGCCATGGCGTGCACCCTCCTTGCACCACTGCCTTTTCCCCAAAATGCTATGACTTCCCTACTCACACTCTAATCCCCTGTCCTTGTGGTCTCTGGCTACCCTTCTGCCCCTGAGCCTCTCTCCTCCCTTCTCCTTTCCCCTCTTCATCCAGTTACATTTCATTATTGATTTAACTAGTTACATTTCGTTGTTGATTTAATTTACTCTCCTCTAGGGTTCCCTGTACCCCCATTTCTGACTCCACTGATCTGAAATTCCTTTTCATTCTGACTCCTTCCTAGTCCTCCTGGCAAACGCTCCTTCTTATTTCATCTTTCATCTTTCATATTTGCCTTTCTCGGTAGTTTTGTGACATTTTTTTCTTTTTTCCCCCATTCTCCATAATGTATTCCATTTTGCAAAAGCCTTCCTATTCATGCCACCTGACTTAGGCAGTTTAGTGTAGTTGGAAAAGCAGGGGCCTGGGAGGCCAGTAGACTTGGGTTCAGATGTCATCTTTGCTATTTATCGACTGGATCAAGTCACATAATAGCTCCTACTAAACCTCTTGTTTTCTCATTTGTTAAATGAGGAAAATAATACCCACTTCTCGGAATCATTATGGGAATAAAATGAGACTATGTATATGAAACTGTCTAGCACATATGAGGTTCTTGTTAATGTTATAAGTAGATCCAATCATCTTACGATATCTCACCCACTGTTTTCCCCTCCAGCCTCAGGTCACATGATCCCCAACAGTACCCCTGGGTTCCAGCTATATTGGTTTCTTCCCTGTTGCTGGAATATTTTGAGCTCTTGTCACCCCAATATCTTCCCACAGGCTTCCCCTTTCTGCTTGGAGGGATCACTCTCTGGTCTTCACTAGCTGTCTTTCCCTCATCTGTAAATCTCGATAATAAAGCACCTTTCCTAAGATGACCACCCACCTAGTCTAAGTTAGCCCCTCTCTGTCTTCCCTTTTATGTCCTTTCAGATCTCCTTACAGTTTTTCTAAATCACATCCATTTCATATTTTATAAGTTGTCCATTTATTAGTGTATTTCCTTGATGTATTTTCCCCACTAGACTTGGAACTCCCAGATAACAAAGACCAAGTGTGTCTTGGTTACCACTGTGTGCACAAGAGCTAGCACAGTAACCTACATAGGGTAGAGACACCAAATAAGTATTTGCTAATGATCATATATTCATTAAATGTTTACTCTGCGACAGGCACTAGCCATACATCTGCAGAGAATAAAAAACATTATACAGTTAAAACCTCCCCCACCCTCCCTCTGTCTATCTATCCATCCCTCCCTCCCTTCCTTCCTTCTTTCTTTCTTCCCATGCTCCCTTCCCAGCTTTCCATGATTCGAGTAATTTTTTAAAGAGTCTTTCTTCTTTAAGCCTCCAGATAATCTCTAGGACACAAATAAACTCCGATTCAGGAAGGGAGAGTGCTATCTTCTGCTCCATCTCTGCTGTATCTAAGCTCAATCTTCCATCAATCATTCTCGTACCCACGAATCCCCACCATTTGTTTTCTCTGGTTTCAATCATCACCTTCTCTGCAACTCACGCTGTCCTTTTAATCCAGCTTTGCTCTCTGCAGCACGTTGGCTACACTCATCACTCAGCACATCCTGTTTCCTTTCCTTCCTTTCAGCCACCTCCCCTCAGATGCTGTCTTGCCCCACCCACCCCTCAGCATCCTGACCTCTGTCCAGGCCAGCTCCATCCATCTGCTGGTTTAGGATCAATGACAGCGTTCAGGCCAGTCTTGAAGTTTTTCCTTTTATTGCTGCTGGATCCTAAGTAGATCACTGCAAATGTATCTATCCCTGCTGTCTATTTCGTTGACTCAGAAACCTCTTCTGGTGATGTAAGTTTAAATTCTTTTCTCTACCACTTAACTAGTTGGCTGATTTTTAGCGAGACTTATAACCTCTTTCAGCCTTTATTTACTTGCCTGTAAGTGGGGGCAACGGGGAGGGTGAATGAGCCAGCAGGTATAAACAGAAGTACCTGGTGCCCTCTGGCACACAGTAGGTCATCAGGAACAGTAGCTTATTTCTACCTCCACATGTCTATTTCCTTGGTCCTCCTGCGCCCTCTGTCTCTTCACTTTCCTCTCTCCATTTCTCATTTCCATTTTCAGAACATTTCCACTATGTCTCATTTAAAGCGAACTTTTACCATTGTCTCTAACTTCTCTTTCGTGAAAAATGAAAGAGTATTTTAATCACCATTGTCGTTCTTCATTTCTGCTTGCATCTGTTTGACTGATTCCTGCTTCAACCCAGTACTTCTCTCGCTCTTTCCCTTAACAATTCTCAAATTTATTATCTTTTTTCCTCTGGCTCATACCTTTCACTACCTCCCATTTTCCCTGTCCCTGGTCCTCTAAATCAACCCCTTCTTGTTCTGTAATTTACTGCAGTCATTTCCTATCCCTCTTACAGTCAAAATCCTCACAATACTCCTTGAAAGTCTCTCTTTCCTCATTCATCCTTTTGCATTTTCTTTCTCACATTCACTCATCTTTAATTCATCTCCATCATTCGTTTGCTTGAACCCACGTCTCTGCACCTCTTTGCTGACTTAATCACTTAACCTATTCGTGTTTCCTTCTTCCTTTGTTACACTCACCATCTTTCATCATTAACACATATTAATGGGTGATGTTTCTTTGGACTTCTTCTTACAAATCTCAACACTGGTGTATTTTCAGGGTCCTCTCTCTAGGCCCCATTGACTCTGATTCCTTTCTGGAACCTTTTCTCTCTGGGACCCTGCTTTAGTTAGGGGGAAAAAAAGGTCTGCAGTATCTGCTCTGTACTTATTCAAGCTGAACTGCTAACCTGGTGCATTCAAATGTCTATTACTGATGAAAAGTGCGAGCTTTATTTTCTGTTATAGAATACTAGGTCATTTTCCTTTCTGCACCACATTGTTTTTATGATTATATTTTGAATCGGTAAAGGCAATGTCAGCACTGAGTCACTATTTCCACAACATTTACTAACCGCCTACTATGTGTTAAATACAGCCTACTTTTTTGTTCTTATTGAATTCTCATGAGTCTGGGAATTTAGAATTTTTAATACCTGCTTTACATGTGAAGCATTGGGAACACATAGAAATATGTTGGCAATTTACATCAAATAAAGTCCTTCCAACTTTTTTGGGTACAGACAGTGTAATGTAACAGTTAAGAGATGCACACCTTATAACAGGGATGATGGCCACCACTTTGCAGGAATGTCATTTAATATATATCGTCCTTCCTAAATTACAGTTTCCACGAGGGCAGAAATCCTATTATTCCTGTTCTCTGCTGCCTGGTATGTATTAGGCCATCAATGATCATTGCTAAATAAATAAATAAATGCATTTTAAAACCACAGTTTCTTGCATAAAACAACACTGGTTTTGAATTTCAGCCCTGCCATGCAATATATGTGTGACCTTGAACGTAGTAGGGAGAAAGTAGATATCTTCTGACAGTCTGTACCTTTCAACCTTGTTCATGTATGCCATTGTATGCATGTTGTTTTTAATTGTTTCCTAATATTATTTAGCAACCCTCAGAGCCAGGAAAACCAGTGTTCAGATCCCAGCTTTCCCACCCCCTAGCTTTGATGCTTTAGGCAAGTTATCTATCTCTTCATCTATAAAATGGAAATGATGCTATCTCTTTACTGTGCTCAAGGGCAAGTGCTACGTGGTTGATAATCTGGGCTGAAACCCCAATACCGCCTTATTTCAAGCCCTCTGCACTTTTTACTACCAGGGATCTCATTGTCCTGACTTCCAACTCCAAAGGCTCCTTTCATTTTTTTTTCTCCCTCTATCTTTAAGAGCTTTGTGAAAACCTAACTCCCAGGACCATGCCCAGATGTTTCTCAGGGAGGTAGAGGCCACCCCCCTTGCCTGACCCACTTACGAGCTGTATTTGATGACTGTCATATGAGAATCTGCACACTCAGCAAAGCTGGGACTCTGCAGGTTCCCTGTGACTCCGGAAGATTCAGCCTCACTCCATCTCATTCTAGGAGGCTTTCAGTGAAATCTGCGGGAAGTTGTGGGGAAGGTGCTCTTCCTCCATCTGGGACACTTTTTTTTTTTTTTTTTTTTTTTAAAGTAAAGCTCTAGTCTACCAAGGGGGGAAAAATATATATATATATATCTAAATTCCAAAGAGCCTTCCTTCTCTTTCTCTTGTTCCATTTTTCCTCTCCCTCCTCCTTTCTCTTCTCCTCTTTTTCATGGAATACCGAGGAATACTCTCTTCTAGGCATGCGGATAACAATGAGGAACAAGACTTAAAGTGATCCCTGCACTTATGATCTTACAGTCCAATCAAGAGATAGACAAACACAAATCATTGAAAATAAATATCTGGTTGAAATGTTTAAAATGTGCTATGCTGAAAAAGAATATTGTCCTATGAAACAGAATAAGGAGATACTCATTTCTATCTGCAGACCAGGTAATGCATCTCTGAAAAAGGCCACAATTAATTGGAAACAAGGAAGGACAAATGAGAGTTGTTATGGCAAAGCAGGGTCCTGCGGGACTTTCAGACAGAGGAAACCACAAGCACAAAAGGCCCGTAGAGAGAATGTGGCAAGTTCTAGGGAAGACTAGAAAAGAAGAGAGGGAAGACTAGAAAAGAATGAAATGAATCTCGGAAAGTTAGTATGGCTTCAATTATTCAGGCCTATGGTAAATAGTTTGGATTTAATTCTAATTTAAGCGGAAAGCCACAGGCACTTTTAAGTCAGGGGATGGTATAGTCAGAAGTACAATTTTGAAATGCTACTGTGGCTTTACATAGAGAACGCAAGAGAGAACAGGGGACTCTCACATGGGGGCTGTCCCAGCTGTGCAGGTGTAAACCTCTCCAGGATGCAGACTTGCCCATTGCAACCCACCCCACCCGCACCACACGGGGTCCTGCAGCCTGCTCACCCTAATAGTGGGGACCTCATTATCTCCACTGAAGACTGGCCCTGCTTTTGGTTAGTTCTGACCAATAGCATATACTGATTTATATTTTCTTTGTTGAATGCGCCACATACCGATTCAAATTCCATATTCTGGGCAAGCCACATGGAGCAAGATTTATGAAAATTTCCCATATATCCAAAGGCGTGTGTCTTTTTCTCCCTTTTAAGGAATGACTGTCCCCATCGGCTGCCTCCACTATTGTCTGCCTAGGTATTAAACAAACAAACAAAAAATAATAATTACTGACAACTTCCATTTTCATTGAATACTTCTATGTTCATCATCATGACATTTGGTTTTCATACAACCTTGTGAGCCAGCAGGACAGGAAATTTTAGCCTCAATTAACAAGTGGCAATGATAACATTCACAGATGTAATTTGCCCAAGTGGCAGAATTGGGTCCTCAATCAAGTCTCACAAGTCCTATTTTAATCTTCTTTTCACCTTAGAGTGAAAATAAAGTATATAGGGAGGATAATCTCATGGGTTCTAGTATCAGATTGATTGTCTAAGTTCAAATACTGTCTCTTATATTTGCTGTGTGACCTTGGGAAACTACTTAATCTCTCTGAACTTTGGTTTCTTGATCTGAAAACAACAAGAGTCCCTACTTCATGGAGTTGGATAAGTATTAAGTGAGATAATAGATTAAAAGCATGGAGCACAGTGTCTAGCCTAAATTTATAATGAATATATAATCAATAAATACTTTCCCTTATCAACATCCTCAACCATCTTGGTCAAATGCAACAATAGTGAAAAAATAGTTGCTGCAGGTATGGTATAAGGTGGCTTGACTTAGAATATTAACTCTGCCACGATGTCATGAATAATGTGTTTAATCAGTGACCTAGTTCTTCATCTGTAAAATGGGTACAATCATAGCTAGCTCACAAAGTTGTTGCAAAAAGTAAATCTTATAAATAATAAGAGAAATTGCCTGGCACCAAGAACTATGTGCTCGATAAATGTTAATTTCCTGCTTCTCTGCTTTGATTTAACATCATTCCCCCTAGAAATACTTCTCTGATGCCCTAGGCTGGGTTAGGAACTCCTCCTTTCTTTGTTCTTTACACCTTGCACTTACCTGGAGCTACATTTAGAGTATCTGCTTGTCTGTCTCCACTTTTAGACTGGAGTTGCTTGATGTGCCAGGTACTATTCTGAGCACTTTGCAAATAATAAAATATTTGATCTTTATATGAACTCTGTGAGGGAGGTATATGATCATCCCCCTTCATATCAATTAAGAAATAAGGCAAGGGAGAGTTGAATCACGTGTCCTTGCTTGCATGGCTGGCATAGAGAGGTTACTCACCTGTTCCTTCTTGTTGGATCATTGCAGATGCCATCCCCTGAGAGAGGACTCCCATGACTCCGTACTCCAAAGAACTCGCCCATTCATCATAATTTCCATATCGACATTTTTTCCATCACAGGTGAATCACTGATTGATGGATGGATAGGCTTCTGTCACCCAAATGCAAGCTTTAAGAGGAAAGGGACTTTACCTGCTTTGTTCCATGTCGTGTATCAGCTCTTAGGTTAGTCCGCAACACATAAACCATGCTTAATAAGTATTTGTTGAATAAATAAACACATTGCATGCATTTATGAACTACTGAATTTATTTTGTAACTTAAAAGAAATAGCCTATGTCAAACTATACATTTTTACATTCTTGTGAAAGTTAGTTTTTAAATTGAAGGTGGGTCAGGGACAAGGAACGCTGTAAGGGTGGGGAGAGAGCATGCCCTTCTACCCTGCACTGAGCCTTCTGCACTCTCAACAGCAATGCTTCTTTCTGAGCAGCTGGCCAGCAGGTGGGAAGACACCCTCCTTGGAAGGCAGGAGGGGTTTCCGCTCAAGGAGACAGGATGGGAAAGCAGGAGGAAGCTGCATGGGGAAGAGATATACTGCAGTCATGGCATTAAGCCTGAGGTTTGAGATGCCCACTAAGATTCACTGGGAAAAAATAATACTTGAAAAAAGTGTAATGTCTAGTATTTATCACCTCGGTCTACTGGTAGTTCATTCTCCCTGACATCTATGGAGATTCTTAGGAACTAATATATTGTCTAACACCTACCCTGCCACCAATGCACGATGCACTTTTTTTTTGTTAGCTTTCATGCTCACCTGTTATTCTCTAATTTTTGTTGCTTTAGGTTTTGTATAACCCATTAGCATGATATTCAAGTTCCACACAACCTTTCTGATCTACTCTCTCACTGTTTTTCTTCCTAAAAATAAATACCCTGACTATTCCTGTACACACTCCAAATTCCATACTACCTCTGCCTCGATTATTCTCCCCTAACTAATGCTCTGCATGCGTGTACAGCAGCCATCTTTCAGGACCATTTTTAAAATTTATTTTGAAACAGGGCCTCGCTCTATTGCCTGGGTCAGAGTGCAGAGTGTCATCATTATAGCTCACTGCAACCCCAAACTCCTGGGCTCAAGCGATCCTTCTGCTTCAGCCTCCAGAGTAGCTGGGATGACAGGCACGCATCACCATGCCTGGCTAATTTTATCTTTTCTTTTTTCTTTCTTTCTTTCTTTTTCGTTTGTAGAGATGAGGTCTCACTATGTTGCTCAGACTGGCCTCAGACTAGCCTCAAATGATTCTCCCACCTTGGCTTCCCAAAGTGCTAGGATCACAGACATCAGCTGCCATGCCCAGCCCAGGACTGTTTTTATTTTCATTATATCCTTTATATGTAATAGGGTGATTTTTTTTTCCTTTACATGTTATTTCTCATGTAACTTATTTGTACATTTAATAATTTCTATCTCATGTGTTATTGTAGTCAAGGCTGTGATGCTTTAGGGTTTTGTCCAGCAAATAGTCATTCCCTTCCTCCTTTCCCTTCCTCAGAGCCCACTGGTGTTTAGCTTGGTCATGTGACCTGCTCTGGCTGGTGAGATACCTACGACCACTTCCACGAGAGGAATATGCTCTGCCTCACCCGCTGGTCCAAGTAGGGTGACAGGCATGAGAGCAGAGCTGGATCTAAGTTGTCGTTTGGAGACAAGAGTAGCCAATCCCGCCTAAGTCAACAGATTTCCCAGCCCACCTTCTGACATTTGAATGAGAATAAATGATTGCCATTTGAAGCCACTGAGTTCCAGGGGGATTTTATTACACAGCATTATTGTGACAACAACTGACTGAGACACAGTCCTAACTCCTATCCTATCCTCTGAGTTTCTTGAAACTAGAGATCATCTGATTCATCTTTTTTTTACCCATGCAAAGTTCCAAGGTACAACCCTAATGCATATTTATTGAACTAATGAACAGATGAATAAATGAATGAATAAAGAGCTAGAGAGAGATCCAAGATCCAGGGAGACTAATGTACTCATTAGTTCAACAAGAATGTATTGAATCTTTATTTTGTGTCAGATATTGTGCTCAAGGAAAAATATTCAGTAGTAAACACACTGGGCTTAGCTTCTAGATGCTACTTGGTGGTCTGGGAAAGCTTTGGAACTGGGGATTCATAATGCAGTCAACGTGCAACTCTGATTATCCTTGAATCGTATGCGAGGGCACCAAAATAATCAGAGAAGTGGTAATGGCTAGAAAAGAGCAGAAAGATCCCTGTCTCACGGCTGATTCCCATTATCTCAGGTTAAGAGCAAATCTCAGACAGATGGGAGGCATTTGCATCTGTTTGAAGAAAATGAGTTAGTGGAAGCTGGCCCAAGGGGTAAAATAAAAATCTATGGGAATAGGTATTGGTTGGTCATTTTCTGATTGCTCAATGACACCTCTGTCCCTTTCCACTGTTATGGAGAGGCTGTTAGCATGCTGAGTCTAAATGTTGTTATCATCTGTGACTCCAAAGCCTGGATCCATGACGACCAGATCCAACAGTGTGGCCTCAATGTCCAACAAGATCTCTACCTAGACATGGATAAAAATCACTACGTGTCCCCTTTCTGGGAGCTTTTCCTGATTATTAAAGATTTGTGTCACATTCTCTTGCCTACCCTACCTACTCCACTCCAAAGGTGTGGCTAAAGTAGCTGTTGGCTGATGTCTTCCATTTCCCAATAGAAGGAGCTCCAGGAATCAGGAGCATAATGCTGACATTCCTAAATTATGGAAAGCATCAACAGAGCCAAGAATGAAGTCCAGCTTCCCTTGTCCTGGATGCCAGCCACTCGGGAGCAAAACTCATCCAACATGTGCTTAACTATTACCTAGGATTTTGTTTGTTTGTTTGTGTCTATGTTTTCAAAGAGCTGGTGGCTTGGACAGAAACTATTCGCAGGGCTCAAAGGATGACACTTGAAACAAAATGCATGGCTATTTCCTAAACTATCACCTTTCGGCCTGAAAAAATAAGTTGAAACATTTTACCCCCTTCGATAAGTCCTGCTTCAACACACCAACACACCCTAATAAGGGGAGTAACCATAAGGAAATAAACCTTTCGGTCAGGTAGACAAATATTGGCAGGGATCTATTTTCCGATCACTATGCAACTTAAATGTGATAAGGCATGCACAACATTTAGAACACTATTTGGTATATGGCAGCAACAACAAAAATAATAATAATACCACTTATTGAGTGCCTACAATATGCCAAGCAGTCTGCTAAATGCTGTGAACGTCCCATCTCAATTAGCTCTTTCAACAAGAGCTAAGAACTAGGAACTACGAGTATTTTCATTTTACATGTGAAGAAGATAAAGCTCAGAAAGATGAAATTCCCTGTCCAGAGTCACCTGGCTAGTCATGGGACCATGATTTAATCCCATGAAGTACTACTTCAGAGCTCCTGATTGTGACCACTACTTCATATTCTCTGTCATAGTTAAGATTCAACATACAATATTGAAAGCTTGTATCATCATCACCGTCATTGTTGTCATCATTTTTAACAATTAACATCATTATTATTGGGTGCCATAACAAGGAAAGTCACCAAAGTAGGGCCATTTTTTTTGGAATATTATCATGAAAAGAAACTGTCAATTGAAATGTAGAGGTGCACGTTTAAGTATGGCTTTTGGGGTCAAATTGTAGGAGATGGGGAAAAAGGGAAGGCAAAGGTCTTCACGGTCCAAAAGACTGGGTTCCGACTTCACCACCCAGTAGCCTAGGCAAGGTGCTCCCCAAGTCAATTGAAAATGGAATGCAGTAGATTAGGTTATGGCCCCAATTCTTCACACCTCTCCCTGTGTCTGTCACCTTTGCCAGGTGACTTTGCTGTTCCTCTTACTAAAGAGGCAGAGTCTATTTCCCCACACTTCAAAGCCACGCTTTGTTACATGACTTATTTTGACCAGTAGAATGAGCTAGAAGTGACTGTGGATGAGTTTAGAGGCATGTGTGTTTCTGCTTGCTGTCTTATGCTTCTGTAGTCACCAGGAGAAGCACATGCCTGGGTCAGCCTAGCAGTCCCAGGAGGAGGGTGAGAAACATGTGGAGCAGAGATTTCTCTGCTAAGGCGCCTCGGCCCAGCCCAGCCTGCAGCTGAATCCCAGCTGACTGGCAGACCACGGAGGAGCCCAGCCCAGATCAGTCAACCCCCAACCAACCCACTGACACAGAGGCTATGATCATAAATAACTGTTGTGTTAAGCCTTTGCATTTTGGGGTAATTTTTGATGCAGTAGCAGGCAACAGGTACAGAGGATAATTGTGCACACTTATGTCCAGTGTCTGGCATATTGCAGCTGTTGAAAAAAAGGATAGTTCCCTTTCATACCTCTTTAACCAATCATAAAAGTCCCAGCTCATCCCAGTGAAAGGTGCAAAATTATGTTAAGGTGATTAGTCACAAAGACAGGGGAAGCGAGCTGAGGGATGCCATTTATCAACACTTCCACGCTAGCCCCTTGCTGAGGTGGGGAAAGCAACGCCATGGACAGAACGGACCTCCCGTGCTAGGAGCATGCAGCTACACCGTCTACATGCAGACAGCCCGGCCGCTGCAGAGCACATTTTCTTAGAGTAATTATTTCCATTGCTACCATTGGTTATTTCTCCATCAAAGTCCTTTTCACTCCTGATTTTTCACTTCTGTAAAGACGACAGTGTCTGATTCAGCTCTTGGGAGAGGATGGGGAGTTTGGGAAGGGGTAGAGACACAGAGGGGAAAGGCAAGGGAGGATAAGAACAAAATCACTTACCAATAGGCTTTACAAATATAAAGTGCTGATGAAATTCGAAGTAACAGCAATAATTATGTTTCCAAGGCCAAATTCTCACATTTCTCACCGTAAATATTCATTTTCATGTTATCTTTCTAAGGAATAAGAATTGGGTGAAATAGCGATGAGCATGTGCGGTGTCGTTGTTGTTGTGTGTGTGTTTTCCCTTCTCCTGTTCTATTTTTACCTGGACCAAGGCAGGCCCCTGGTTGAGACTGTCTGTATCCCAGTGTTTTTTGTAGCTATGATTTGTGGCTCACTGAGTGTCCATGTGCAGACAACTTAAGTGGGAGATGCTTAAAACATCAATAAAATGAAAGTTAAAAAGAAGTGTTGTGTGGGAGGGGGAGCTGCAACAACTCTTTTTGTAGCTGCTAAATGGTCACAGGTGGAATATTACTTTGACTTAGAGCTTGGCAGCCAAGAATCTGGACAAGGGAATCCAATGCATCTTTTATCAACTGGCATGGAAGATTAGGAGGCTATTGCTAAGTTGTCAATAGAGGGGTACAATTTGCTGATAGAAGTGGTCTTCAATTGGCTCCCAAGGGCAGAAGTTACATGTGAGCAGCAGTAGTCATTACAGCACACTGTCAATAGCAGTGTATTAGTCTGCTCAGCCTGCCATAACGAAATGCCACAGGCTGGGCGCTTTAAATAACGGAATTGTATTTTCTCACAGCTCTGGAGGCGGCAAGTCCAAGATCGGTATGCCATCCCGGTTAGTGTCTGATGAGGGCTGCAGGTGGCCACTTTCTCTGTGTACTCACATGACCTTTCTTTGGTGAATGTGCTCAGGGAGGTAGGCAGGAGAGAGAGAGAGAGAGAGAGAGAGAGAGAGAGAGAGAGAGAGAGAGAGAGAGAGAGAAAGAATATTCCTTTTCTTATAAGGTCACCAATCCTATCAGATTAGGGCCCCACTCTGGTGACCTCATTTAACCTTAATTACCTTCTAAAGGCTCTATCTGCAAATACAGTCACATTGGGGGTTAGGGCTTCAACTTATACATTTTTGGAAGGCACAGTTCAGTCCATGGCATGCAGTATAGTCAACTGTCTCTGCAGGCTCTTGTGAAGGTGGCATGATTTCCATTGTCACCAAGGAGGGAATAAAAGGGTCCTATCATCCAGCTATGATGCTATCACTGGCCTTTATTTCAGGGCTGAGATTCAGAATGCTGGCATTGATCACACCACTCCCAAGAAGGTGGGAGCAACTGGGGGGAATACTTGGGTGAGTGAGAGAGGAATCACATGCTTTAGCTAATCCCACGGAGACAGCTAGGGCTAGGGGCTGCGTGCCAGAGGGCGGCCTTCCCCGGGTCTCTGAAAGGCAGCCAGCTTTGCCCAAGTCGTTGATCAGGAAGAGAGATTTGGAGTCAGAGGAGAATTGCTGAGGGCTGGTGTGCCCTGGGAGGAGAAGGCGCCTAGGTCAGCAGGCTGATGGGGCAGGGGTGAGAGAGAAAGCAGAATAATATGGAAAATGTTGACATATTAAGACTTCCTAAAACATAGCTCTGGTGATGTCATCCACAACTTTGCTCACAAACTGTCACCAGCTTTTTGGTGCCTTTATAACAGTGGTCTAAAGTTCTTAATCTGGCACTCATGGCTCTGATTGCTGTGGTTTCAACTAATGCTTCCAGTTTTGGGGGGATGCAGTCATACCTAACATTAGGGGAGTGCTTATTTGGGACAGCCACTGTTATGAGCCCTCTACATGTATAGACTTATTTAATTCTGACAGCCAACCAAGAAGGTGGAGCCCTCTACCCTCGACTTATAGTTGGGAAAGATGAGGCTCATAGAAGTTAACTGACTCAGCCAAGTCACATAGCTCGTGAAGAGAAGAGCTGGAGTTCAAACCCAAGTGGTGTCATTCCAGAACAATGCTTGTAAATACAACACAATATGCTTTCTATGTGTCTC